CGTCTTGGATGACATTCTGCTGTACTAACGTAGAGACAAAAATATCACTAAATCGTCGGCGTAGGCGACCACCCTTATTTTTTTGGTTTTAAAAATCTCAAGAATTTCGTTCACCACAAGGAGCCAGAGGAGAGGGGATAGTACACCCCCTTGAGGCGTGCCCCTGGTGGTTTTCCTTTCCACAGATCCTGTGCCTATGGTGCGTTGATTATTCTTCTCTCGAGCATGGAGTCAATCCATGCCACCATAGGACGCTGAATGCCGTGCTCAGAGACTGCCTTGCTTATCGCCTCCGTTCGGACATTATTGAAGGCCCTTTCAATGCCCAGGAAGGCGGCAAGGGTGTATTCCTTAAGTTCCAGCTATTTTGCAATAGTGCCTACCACTTCGTGGAGCGGTCTCTCCAGCGTTCCGCAGAACTCTTGCCAGAATTCTTTCCTTGCAGCCCTACTACTCTTGTATTTGTTACATCTGGTTTTATATTTGTTCCAGTCTTCCTCACGTCGGCTGCGTTTAGCCTTGTTGAAGAGCTTCCGTGCCATCGATCTGAGTTGACCCAGTTCTTCGCTCCACCATACCGGCTTGGGCTTTGATCGTGCCAGGGATAGAGGACAACTCTGCTCGAAGCACCTGATCAGGATCGCGTTTAGACGATTAACTGCCCTATGAAGATTAGCATTCCCCCGTCCAACTTCGGTTTTCATCGAGCTTAGTGTGTTGGGCTCTAATTCAGAGAAAGTTTTCCAACCCGCTTTTTTCAGATTCCTAAAAGGTCGTGATACTGCTACCTCAGAATCTATCGTGAAGAGTATTCTGCTGTGATCCGAAAAGGAACACGTGTCCGATACCCTCTACTCATTTATCCTGGCGGTAGCTGAGTCGGTGACCAGTGTTATATCAATAACTTCTTCCCTAATCCTATTACGGAACGTGGGCTTATTACCCTTGTTACATATGACTAGGTTAATGGAAAGAATAAAATCAAAAATCGACTCACCCCTGGTATTAGTGTCGGAGCTTCCCCAAAATTCATGATGTCCACTTGGGTCACAACCAATTACCAAGTCCATCCTGCATGCTTGAGCATGCGGCACAAGCTTTCGGAAAGCAATTGATGGTGGTTGCTCCTCCTCGTACGGTAGGTATGCTGACGTTAGTAGCATGCTATGCATGCGACTGTGTTCGCACACCACCGTTGTGAGATTTCCGGTGCTGTAATGGGAGAAAAGACAGAGATTAATATCTATTTTTAGGTAGTATACAGGTTCTTATCTTACTTACAGCCGTTGGAATGTACATACGGTAACTGTCTAACCCGAGTCCGCTAACCACGCCCCTAACCACCCAGGGCTCTTGGATGAGGGCTACATCCAGCTCCTTGTCTGGGATATACTTCGCAAACGTCAAGCTGTGAAGCTCTACTTATATCGTGCCTTGATTGGTCTTTGTATTTTGCAAAGTTTATTGTGCTAATTTTGAGTAAAAGTTGCTATAAAAAGTGCCTACGAGCATCTCAGTGTGATAATATCCGAAGCTAAGTGAAAGTTTTGTGATTTTTGTGGTTTATATTAAATTTAATTAAATTTCACTAGCATACATCTAATCTTGCCGAGTCATTTGTTGTTATCATTGTTGTTGTTATTCCTTTGTAGTTAACTGAGATCGTTTCTATTTTTGCACATTTCTTTTTGCTCTTTTTGTTTACTTCGTTTAGTATTTCTTGTCACAGCTGTTTGCGCTGCGTTTATAAGTGTCACAATACAGTGATACTCAAACTGTTCGCTACATATATTTTAAGCTAAATACATCAGCTCCTAAATTGTTGTGTGTGTTGTGTTAAACTTATTTTGCTTGTCTTTTTATTAACATAAGTGTTATTAAATCTTTCAATATGAAGTGTGATCTTGATAACTGCCAAATTAAAAGCGAATCTGAACGCTACTTATCGTGCTGGCTCTGTGATGGTATTTGCCATCTAAAATGTGCTGGTTTGACAGGAAGAATTCTGGACGCTATTAATGATGGCAAAGGTCTTCGCTGGTCTTGCTTAAAGTGCAGGTCAACCGAAGTTGATCTGTTTAAGTTGTTTAGGCAAACCAGAAATGGGTTTTCTGAGGTAGGGAGAGAGTTGTCGGTACTGAACGAAAAATTTAAACATTATGAAAATGTATTTAAATCTTTTAAATGCTTAGATACCGTACAATCTATGAAGGACATTCATGTGTCAAAACGTAAGCGTCTTCATAGTCCGCCTAATGAAAGGACCGTTCCACGTCAGAACAATCTTCCGAGTGACTTAATTAATCTTTCTTCTCCATGTCCACAGACAACGGAGTTATCTTCCTCAAAAGAACTTATATCAAAGTCTGCTTCTAATAATAACGACCCTGCAGTATCTTCCCCGTCCCCCGTTGAAGTTGTGGCACCGCCATCTAATCTTCCAACGCTTAC